TACAATATGAAGCTTCCAGTCAATGGAACAACCATGTCTATAACTTGCAGGCTGATAACAGATTCGGTTGTATATGGTGCGGTATTCAGGAGGAAGTTTTCTGGATGTTAAAATCATGCTACTATACTATCCTAACACACACTCATAGCTGTATTAATTCATTTTACCATGAAACTAGAGGTCATGAAAAATTAAGATGTTTAGTTGGAAAATGAAGTCCTCTTTTCTTTCCCCACAGTACTGGTGTTTAATGAGGATTATCAAAGCAAATGTCCCTATTCTGCTCTACCAATATTGCTTGAAACCTGAGTTACAGGGATAACCTAGCCTCGGGGCAGGGTTGCTGGAACAATTTGTACAGTGGGGGTGCTGAGAGCCATTGAACCAAACTGTAACCCTGTATATGATGGAAACCACTTCAGACCAGGGGGTGCGGTAGCACCCCCAGCACTCCTAACTCCAGCACCTATGCTTATGGGTGAGAGTATTTCAGTCTCTATGACCATTTACTCAATAGTCTCTCTGCTAAGACTCAGTCACCTAGGGCCAGATTTTGATAAGTATGTAGGTTCCTAAAGATGCAGATAAGCATCTATTTGAATTTTCAAAAGCATCTAAGCAGGTTCAGTGCCTGGATGCAGGCAACTAACCTGCTTTGGTGCTTTTGAAAATCCCACTAGGTGCCTATCTTCATCCTTCAGCACTTCAGCACTTTGAACATCTGTTCCCTAGAAACTGGACAACTCCCCCTGATGTGTTTTATGGAGACCACCAAGCAACTGCCCAACTTTAATGACTTCTGGTGGAAACTCTTATTACTTCTTGAGATTTTATGACACAGGATATACAAGTGCACTGAGAAAGTGATCACTCTGCCTTGAAATGGCAATTAATTACATTGGGCATAAGACTGATATTCTAATATAGCTGATGAACTTCATCCCCAGTGATCTAGAATCTCACTCTGTTTGAACTTCAGTCTACACGAACCTTTAAAGTAATAAAGCTTCTTGCCCAAACCTAAAGTGCTGTATGAATGGCAGCTTCTATTACTAAACTGACAGGTTGCAGGGACCTACAAAAATGACATACTTCTCCTTGGCTGTATTCTGTGAACAGTTCCTAGCCATCGCTCTCAGGGTGACTAGATGAATACATGTTGTTTTACCAGCTGAATGGCACTTCCCCATTTCTCCTGCTGATATTAACAGTGCACTCAAAACACTTAAATTAGAAGATGACACACTCAGAACACAGTTGTTAGAAGAAACAATTTAAATCTGTCCAAAGCAGGTGTTGGGTTCCCAACATTTGCTGGGGTGTAACAACTGTGGGAATATCTCTGCTTAAAATAAACAGGATTCCATAACAAGGATAGTAGTAATTCATTTAGCATCATTTAATATCTATCTCATTTATTGCAGCCTCACTTCTTGCACGTGGCCTAACTGAATGCAACATTCCTGACAATGGTAGATAAACCACCATCAGAAACTGACTAGAACGGTTGGAGTTGAACTTGCTGTTTAGTCCTGGCTGGCAGGAAAAATCATACAGATCTAAATTCTCTTCGTGCTGGCCATCTGCACTGGGATGACTTTCACACACAGAGAAAGGTGCCTTCCTGAAGGCGTTATGCTTCCAAATTGTCCCATTGATTGGGACGGTGAGGCAACTGGATTTGATTATATACGGAATAAGCCATAGCTTCTTGCTGTATTATTGATTAATACAGAGCTGCAGATCTTTTGGAAAATGCTTAGCGCCCTTTGAAATCAATGGGCATTGAGCACTCTCAGAACCCTGCCAGGTTGGCCCCTTAGGCAGGAAGCTGCGCTGGATACACTTCTTGCACTACGAACCAAAAGGAAAACGGCAACAAACTTGTGCGTCCTTCCTATACTTGCCATTTTTTGACAAACAAGGTAGTATTCATGACAGTGTGGGACATCTTAAAGCAGTGAGGAATTTCAAAGGGAACTGTTGGGAAACGTGCAATTAATGGGAATCTTTACAGTATCAGTGGTTTAGATCTTGCCACAGGCAGAATAGGAAATACAGATCACAGTGAATTATTCCTCTTGTTACAGTGCCATAGGTGTGCCTAGTGATTAAAAAACATACTGTATAAGACATGATACCTGCCCCCAAACAGTTTACATTCTCACTTTGGAGCTTCGTCTTGCAATCCTTGCTCATACAAAGAGTCCCGACTTCAGTTCAGTGGCACCGGACATGTATGTAAGTATTTCTCACACAATTACAGTTGCAGGGTAAGGCCATTGATTCTACAACTTTTAAGTGAATGGGAGTTTTTGCCATTGACTTCAATGGCTGCAGGATTAGATCCTAAATAGTTTTTGTTGGTTCCAGGGTTCTTGCTATTGTATTTACTTATTTCAGTAGAGTGTTTATTTATTGTGACTTTGGTTTTATATTATACTATGGGGCTAGATTTTCAAAAGTGCACAGGATTTGCTAATGTGCAATTCTATATGTTTATGGAGCTGGCATGGGAGGAGATGCAGATGGCTCGTGGTGGGCGGCAAGCAGTGGAAGTGAGATTTTAGGAGGGACTTTAGATGCTGTACAAGTAATTCTAGATTTGCAGACCCTCTCTCTGCTAGAAGTGTCTTATTTAGGGAAAAAGCAAGATAAAGATCACTTTATTACAGAGCAATTCATAGCTTACTTTGCAACTGTCTTCCACATTTCACAGAGCAGCATAAGATAAATGTTCTAATACCCTACATAGCTCTCTGCCACATTTTGGGCTGGGATTCAAAGCCAAGAACTGCAGAATCCTTGGATTATTTGCAGCTGACAAGCCTGACAGGAAAAAGTATGTTTCATTTGATTAGAAGCAGATTTGCACAGCAAGCAAGGGCTGAGCATCAAGTGGAGATTAGGTCAAGAGACCAACCAAGTGCTTTCCAAACAGACCAGACGTTTTGTTTCAGTCCATACAACAGAAACAGAAAATGGGTTTAACGCATCCAAAAGTTAATCCATGTATTTTCACCGCTATGATGAAGGAGGGAAACTGAAAGTGAATTGTGTCTATATATTGATCAATGCAGAGATAGTGAGAATACTGAACTTTGGAGGCTCATCTACGCTGATCTAAATCAAGAGTAATTTCATTTTTGTCAGCAGAGTTTACAGGTGTGTGAGCAAAACCAGGCCCATTGTTTTCCAGCAATGGTCCTTGTTAGCCAAATCCCACATTGTCCTAATATCATTACCAGATCTCCTCTGTGAGCTTGTCTCCACGTTACTGCAAGCTGCGGTGTTAATCTCTGAGCAGTAACGTCCCATGTGGACCCTACTACAGCACAGTGAAAGTCATGGTGTGCAGGGTGAGCTACTATTACTTTAAAGCATAGTATGTCAGCCCGCTCTCTGGGACTTTCACCAAACCGTAGCTGGCTCCACATGGGATGTTACTGCTCAGCAAGCCGGTGTGTGGCAGATTCATTGCCTGGCTTGCTGTGCGGCAACTTGATGTAAAGTTTACACTGTCTAGAGCAGCTGATTTTAGCCACACATATACATGGAGGGGACAGGGTTTAAAACCTTCTTGTTCCTGAAGAAGGCCCTTAGTTTCCATAGAGAAACAAGGTTGGTGAGGTAATATCTTTCACTGAACAAAACTTCTGCTGGTGAGAGAAGCTTTCAAGCTTACCTGGAGCTCTTCTTCAGATCTGGGAAACTAACTCAGTGTTGCTGTTAAATACAAGGTGGAACAGACTGTTTAGTATAAGTAGTTTTCAAGGGACCATTCAAGGTGAAGTGGCCCATTAAAACCTCTCCAGTCACAGGGGTGCTGTGTTCGCTTTGGGGTTACCATGAAGATAAATGCAGAAAAATTTCTAAAGAATTTGTTCTACTTTTTTGTTCGTGTCTGCACTGCCTTCAGTTTACGCACGTTCAAATGCATGCTGCTCTACTAGGGCTTTTCTTCTCCTGGTTTCATTATGGGAATCACAGATTTTTAACTGGGTCTTTCATTGAAAACAATAATGTACTGTATGCTCTGTTTTTAGTTTGTCCATGCACAGCCTGTTAATGGCTAATGGATGCCAATAATCAGCCAAGTGATGAAATGTGTGGATAGCCCCTGCATTGCTTGCTAATGGGACCTGGATGGAGAGGGTTGAGTTTGTTGGCTCTCTCTGGTTTATGGTAAGGCAATTACAGGGAAAAGGATAAAGGCCTCCTTCTGAGCATATTGAAAAGAATTTGAGCTCTTCATGGAGGAAAATTCAAGTTTCAGCATCCAATGATAAAGGCCAGGCAGAGTCAATGCATTCAGCTTTAATTTTGCAGATCTGACCAGAAAATAAACAGGAAAATAGCTTGCACTGTATAACTGAATGAGAAGGATTATACCCTATTAACATTTCTAAGGGCTTACAGTTAAGAGTGTCATTGACTTCACTGTGGTCCCACTAATGTAGTTGTGAGAGAAGAACTTGGACCTTATTTGCTGCAGGTGAAAGTCAGCCCCATGCTACCACAAACCCTAGAAACCACTCACCTCCCACTAAACCCCTCAACACAGGGCTAAAGTGAGACTTAGGTGGTGCACAGGCCTTATGCTGGCAGCTGCCCAGGCGAGATTTCAATCCAGGAGTCAAGTTTAGTACAGTTTTGAGCCTGGTGCAACCCTTTGACGTCAGTGGGGTTATTTGAGTTGTTAATCAGTGCAGAACTAATCCCTACCTTTAGTGCAGCACAAATAAAGAGCTGGCCCCACAGTCCCAATGATAGGTCCTTTCCAGACTACTATCTGCACGTCACTTTTTCCATCACGCGTATATGGATCTTTTTATGATTTCACGACTGTCAAGATCCCTTTCCCATCTCATTTTCCTTTCATGCAAATACAACTGGGATGAATTTGGGCAAGACTGGGAACAGCTAAAACTACTCAGACCTGTTTTCAACATATTTATCAGGCCGAATAAAAAAGAAGCAACAGGTTTTATCAGCCTAAATATTGAAACCAAATTTTATTTTTGAAAGTGACATTACACACATCTTGCAAATGTACATTTAGATGAGAAAAGAATGAGTAACAAATATTGAGAGCAAAGCTATAAAGTGGACAGGTTCTCTGCTGCATGGCATTGCATTACAAGTGTTATCAGATCTGGGATGATTATTACAAGTAGTAAAAACAGTTCACAACACCTCACAAATATGGAAATTTGGGCTAGAACGTTAAGTCTTCTAACAAAAGGAAATACTGCTAAGAGAGAAGAGGCATGAGGGATAGACACACAGATCTAGGATGGATAGGATTTTTTGGGGGGGTTGTTCATGTCTGTTTCCTTTGTTTCTTACAAACCCCATCTTTGTAAGTGGCCCCATATTTTCCAAACTTTTAATGTTGTATGTCCTCTGTTGCAAATGGAGGCACAACTACCAAAGAAACCCTGTAAATTGAAATCAGAGTCTGGGCATGTGGAAGAGGAGGAGGTGTTTTCAGAACCCCTAACACAATTTCATCCCCCGACCTTCCACTGAATATTCAGTAAAATCAAACTCTGCAAATCCAGACCTATGGGACTACATCCATTAAAAACAGACACGTATGGGGCATAATAATTTGCAAATACATCACATGCCGAACGCCTCTGTTGAAATGGGTAAATAAGATCACATCTTTTACTAATTACGTGATCTTGTGAATATTTAACTAATTGTACAGTTCAATCAAAGACAATATGTGACTGATCTTTATCTGTTTTTCTTTAAAGTCCAGTGTCTATTCAGAGTGCCAAAGGCATTGTTCTTTGATACGTAACACATTCTCAGGAGAACCTGCTGACAACTGCTTCTCAAACTTTGTTGTATATTATTTTACTTATGCCCAAATCTGTAACTTACAACCATGAGAGAGTGAGAGACAGAGAGAAAGACAGAAAGAGAGAACCTTCTTTTCAGAGGTAAAGGAAGAGTTAATTAAGAAATGAGATGTACAATACCATGCATTTACTCTCAAAAGCTTGTTCACTAGCAACCTAGCACTTCTAATACTACGACCACGAATTTACATCTGTTAGCTAAGTAATCAAGTTCTACCTAAAGCTATGGAGCAGAAGTTTTTTTTTTCTTTTTCTTTTTTTACCCTTTAAAACATCAATAAAAATGTTTTCTGTACAAGTTGAATGGCACAAAAGGTGGTAAAAATGCTAAGTAACTCACCACAAATGGAGAATGTGGAATTAGTTCAAAACATGCATGTACCGTGTACAGATAAGCAAGGAATCATTGGCATAAAGCTGCAATATATTACAAGATGATACAATTGAGACATTTTGGCATAGCCTCTTGCTTGTTCATATCCCTCACAGGCAACTTTAAATTAAATTTCATTTTAAAAGGAAATTCAGGATATAGCCCCAAGCAGTAAGTTAACAATGGGTAATGCTATTTGTCTGAAGAAAAAAAATCCCCCCCCCCCCCCCCAAAAAAAAAAAAAAAGCATGACTAGTCAACTTAATGCTGCGTGCAATACTGGTGCTGGCTTATGAAAAGTTCTTGCCAAAATGAAATGTTATATGGATCTGTTACAGGAAAATAAAAAAATCCATTAAATTAACAATGCTTTGTACAACATGTCATTAGTTAAATACATCACTATTTAAACAAAACAAAAAGAAGTTTACCAGTCTAGCAAAATACAGCTCAACCCCTACAACCGTCTTGTCCTCAAAGGTTATGTACAGAGAGTTTAAAGCATGCCAGCTAAACTTTAAACTCAGCCCCTTCTTTCCCCTCCCCACCCCCCCACAACTGAATGGCAACAGAAAATACATTATGGCCTCTTGGTTATATTATATTGCAGCTTTGTTATTAATGATGAAATGATACAAAACCAATAAATGACGTAAGACAGTAATCAACGATCAGGTTCCAATTCAGCTGCACACTTCCGGTAGCACAATTTACTTCTCAACAGCATTGCAGCCTGCCGAAGCACTGCAAAGTTCAGGGTAAAGAATGAAGGCAAGACCCGTTCTTCAGAGACCAGTGGCATGAAGAACCTGGAGTTTACTTGATGAGATTGGCTTATTGTAGCTTGTGACTAAGAAAATAGGCAAATGCTAGTAATAACAAAGACATCCAGCTGGTACTCTTTTCTTGTGCTTCTCGGCTATACAGTGTTATAAGATGCGGGGCACCAAGAAGTGAAAAGCATGTCTTTGACTTCCAAATTATATCATTATTTCACAGAATAGAAGGAGATTCAACTAGACAGGTTTCCTCTTCCGAAGAGGCATCTGTACCAGCAGTGCCACAGTGAGAAATTTGCTTGGATCACATGTAGTTTAAATGACAAGAGAACTAACAACAATTTACACGTCAGAATCCGGCATGTACTGTAATTACTCATCGGCTTTCTTGTTCTTACATTCAATACTTCTGCTTCATGTTATCTATAGACACCAATTGATTACCAGTGCAATTACTTCCCTAGACATTCTTCTTTTCAAACGGACACATTATTAGACTTTACACTAAATCTGAAGGAGTTTCCATAGCAAAGAAAAGAAAAAGAACCTGTTAAAGATGTACTGCTTTGCAAGTACCCCAGAGACATTACTGGGCGTATAACATGTGAGGGAGGCTGAAATCCCGCGATATTTAGACTGCCACCTGCAGTATCAAGTGGAATATTGACCCATCATGACTGCTGTCCTACAGTTAGTGACAGAGGCAGGAAAGCAGCTACGGTGGAATTTTACAAACAAGACATGGCTGTAAATTTTTCAGAGGGAACCTATGTAGGCCTAGAACTTGGCCTCAGACTTGAAATTTTGATCTGAATCTGGACTTCCTCAATGTTCAGAGGTACCCGGATGGAAGATTTCAGTTTGGCCTATGATAGAGATAGGAGTCATCTCTTTAGTTTGGCTCTGGATATGGACGTCCCTGAAACATAAGGATTTTCAGGACCAGCTTCAGGTCCCTCTCTACCTATTGCTGCCAGCGTATCCAGTTACGACTTCATGTGCCAAATGAACCACCCTGCTCTTATCATCATCATGGCAAATCCCAAAGGGACACAGCCTTCTTGCAGACTGAGCACTACCCAGACTGAGTCTTGCTACCTGGTCGGGGATCCAGCTCTGGGATATCTGAAATGTTTAAACAACTCTTTGAAGGAAGACAATAACCTTTGACTGCATACAGCTAAAGGAATGATTGGCTGCAAATAGAGATGGACCAACCAATTTGGATAAAATCAGAACCAGCCTCGAGTTTACCCCACAACTTAAAATGAAACAAACCTGAACTCTCTTTCTTATGTTCAAAAACATCTGGTAAAAAGAAAGCACCTTTTCTTTTTTTAAAAAACAAACCAACAAACCCATAAACCTCCATTCTTCTTGGCTGCAGCTAGGACTGGGAATAGAAACTCTGAGAGAGAGACGATTTCCCATCCTGCAAACCCTGTGGGCCCTGAACTCCTGTCAATGGTGGACCAGATTCAGCTTTCTTTAGAACCCGAAAACTCATGAGGGGGCCTGATTTTCTGAGATTCCTAGCCTCACGTTCAGATGGATGCTTAACCGAATGGAACCATTTCAGCTGCCTCATCACTAGCCACAATAAAACCAACAAAGAACATGTAAGATACAGGTATTACAGATCCATACCGGGAGAGAGACTATTGTCTATCTGGAATTTCCAACATGAATTCTGCTACAATAATCCTGGAAATTGACCCCGCAATTAAATATTCACAACAGGGATTGTTTACAGCAACCAGTCTTTGAATCATAAGACCAACGGACTCAGCTCCATTTACTTTAATGGAGTTTTTATCCCTTTGTGCCAGCAGAGAATCTACTCTGTTGGGTTTCATACAGTCAAGTGTTATACTGTGTCCTTACTGTAGAATCTCCTCTACAAAATCCTGCAATCTTTGTTTAAAAAAACCAACAACCCTCCCACTGAAATCCAGGGGAGTTTTACCTGAGTAAGTAACTGGACCTGGATGTGAGGGTTAAATTCACTAATGTTGTAACTCTACTGAAGTTAACTGAGTTACACCAGCCGCAAATTTGGTCCTATGTGCAGACCGTTCCTTCTAGCCGTGCTTTCTCCTGAATGTATTAGGTGCAGTAGCGGTAACTCCAGGTGTTTTGATACGGCAGAGATGAATGCTGAGGAAGATAGACATTTAAAAGTGATATCAGTACGCCAAAGAATATCTGGTACACAACACATTTTGAAACTCACTTTTGTTTACATTTCTTCTTCTTTTTTAAGCCAAGAAACTACAAACAGGCCTGGCCAATATGGACACCTGTGTGACTGAAAGGCTCTGCCCCTTTCTTCCCAACACAACAAAGAGGCAACAGCTGGAAACTCAACAACGAGACAGCAATCCCACCAGAAGCTTCACAAAAGGGAACTCCCACTTTATAGGGGCCCGACTGGGATGCCTTGGGACAGCTAGACTAGCACCTGACTCCACAAGTGGTGCCATTGGAGCCAATGGGATTACTAAGGGAGTAAAGTGCCTCTACGCAAGAGAAAGGGAAAGAGAAACTGGCCCTAAAATAATGAAATTGTAACTGATAAAACAATTTGCTACCACATAAGACAACCCCTCCCCAGATAAATCACTGCAGGAAAATTAGCATCAATACTGACGTTCCTGGGACAGATTGAATGCAGGAAGCCAGGGGCAAGATTATACCATCCCAAGCTCACAGAGGACTGCCTTGCTCCTCTAGCGGCCCTATCGAAATTAATGAGACTCTTTATGGAGTAAGGCACTGCTCAGTGTGAATAAGCATTGCAGAATCTGACTCTATATTAATTCACATTTCCTGGTGAAAGGGGTCAGTGCAGGTGAGCTGAACTGTTTGCATGTTTGGCCTGTGACTCAGTGAACAAGACCAACAGCAGGTCAAAGACCTCAGCAGTTCTGTTCTGTGCAGCTTTACAAGATAATAAAACTAGATTCTCTTCCCTCAGGAGGATGCGGTGGCTCTTTCTTGACTAGAGCGGCCTGCCCTGCCTCTGTTTTGCCATAGTTTGCTGGGTTCCATGGGGAAGGATCTGACATGCCCTCATTACCCTTTTTTGCATCTCTTGCAATTTCCTTCTACAAAGCACTCAGCCTGTCCTTTCGGGAACCAGGCAGTGCTGCTGCATTTCTATTTCTAGTCCAATGCAGAGGGATAAAAATAAAAATAAAACAAAACCACAGGCTTGGCTGTCACTCGACAAAGGGTTGCAGTTTCCCCCCTCTTTCAAGGATGTTGCAGACTTTCATGTGGCAGCGGAAAAGAGGGATGGGGGAGGAAAGGAATTTCAAATCAAGTTCTTCTGCCCACAGCCAAGTATGACCTTATTTCTGTGATGGGGAGCGGGACACTAATTGTCACCACGGGTAGGCTGCAATCCAGTTTAGGCATTGGTCTAACAACTCACAGCCATGGACCCCCTGCTGGCTTTCAGCCCAGAGCCAAGCTGTACATCCTCGGCTACCCAAGGCTTTCCCTTCTGTTTATTATTCTTGGTTTCTCCACCCTCTTTATTTATATTTCTGCATGTGTCAAAGACTGACATTTCCACCACTCTGTCTCATGCATTCCTTTCCATTTGATTTGGTATTATGATGAAGTTCCCACTCATATCCCACTGCTCAGTAAACACTTCCTAACAAATACTCCCTGCTGGCCCCCTCAGAAATGAGTCTCCTTTCTTTGTTTCCCAGGACATTGACCATCACTGCATCTTTCTCTAATGCTGCCAACTTTCTTTTTCAGTTGTCAGACTCTAATTGCTACAAAGTGTTAATTCCCTTTAGGAATCCTCCTGCCGCAACTGTTCCACTGCAAACTGTCAAACCTGGGGTAGTTTTAAAACTGGCTGCAGAATTTTGAGTTCCTGTTCACTGTGCAAGGGAGTGGGAGCAGGAATGGGTAAGCCCTGCTAAAGATGTTAAGAGAAAAGATGAAAGACAAGCCTTTCCCAGGAAGAGACTTAGCAATAAACGGCTCCCAAACCAGTAACACTTCAACAACCAGCCCACTGTCTGCTTGGCGTAAGGCTCTTGAAATCACCAGAGTTACAGAGATGAAGCTTGCTCCTTGTTTACAAATGCAGGGCCCAAATTTTGGTTAGTAGCACAAATGGGCCCCAAACAGGCACACATGCACATTGCAAACATTGGTTAGCATGTGATTATCTTCTGGCCAGAAGCAGCAGCCCCACACAGCCCAGAAGCAGGAGTTTGGGACCTGGCTGTGGGTTTGGGCCATTGCCCTACGTGACACCATGAAATGATGTTCTGGGGTTTCTGTTGGATTTACTGGACTCTCCAAGAGTTTCGATAGAGCCAGAAGTGATGTGGACAATTTCCACCCCATTCTCCCTTGCCAGAATTGGGTCCACACAAGTCACCGTTCATGAGCGGGAAAGCGTAGTCTAGTGCAGGGATGGCCAACCTGAGCCTGAGAAGGAGCCAGAATTTACCAATGTACATTGCCAAAGAGCTACAGTAACACGTCAGCAGCCCCCATCAGCTTTCCTCAACCCCTGCTCCCAGCACCTCCCACCCACCAGCAGCCCCGCCAATCAGCGCCTCCCCCTCCCTCCCTGCACCTCCCGATCAGCTGTTTTGTGGCGTGCAGGAGGCTCTGGGGGGGAGGTGCAAGGAGTAAGGGCACGGCAGACTCAGGGGAGGGAGCAAGAATGGGTGGAGTGGGGCAGGGTCTGTGGCAGAGCCAGGGGTTGAGCAGTGAGCACCCCCTGGCATGCTGGAAAGTTGGCACCTGTAGCTCCAGCCCCGGAGTCAGTGCCTTTACAAGGAGCCACATATTAGCTTCTGAAGAGCTGCATGTGGCTTCAGAGCTACAGGTTGGCCACCCCGGTCTAGTGTCATTATTCCTTTATCTTTCTTTGTCTGTTATTCAGTCTCCCTTGCTTATGACAATCTCCTGTCTTGAGCTCCTTGCTGTGGTTGAAGACCCAGCATGAGCCACCCTCCTAAATACTGAGATTCCACCTGCACTGACTTCTCTTCAGCTACACAGTAGTGCACATTCCCAGGATAAGCCTTGTGTGGGCAGATGCTCTCTCCAAAGCTTCCCCACATAGCCCAGTGATGAAAGAAGAATGTTTCACAGAACTCAAGCTGTATATAGACCAGATGAGTCAAAGCTTCCCAGCTACCCAGTCCAAACTGAGCAAGCACAACAAAGGTCCTAGGACTTGCCAATACTTAAGCAGATAGGCAGAGACAGGTGGGCTAAGGAAAGGAGCAATCCCTGAACAGTTCCTACAATACTGGCAATATAAATGAAGCATCAATATAGTTGATGATCTGCTGTTAAAAGGACAGAGGCTCATCAGACCAGAAGATCAAAGAGAGGAAAGGCTTGGAAAGATCCGTTAAGATCAAAAAGACGTAATAAAGTGCAGCGCAAGAGCACATCAAACAGTCCAGTGTTCAGGACAGTCAAAATGGACTTGGTGGAAAGCTTTGTAATTTGTGCAAAAGAAGCACAGTGTTGATTAGAGCAGAGAGCTGAGAGAAAGACAAAGGCAGCCGATAAACACCGACCTACGTAACTTAAAAAACACCACCACTAGAGTAGCGGTAGCTTCCCATTCACAATATGTGACAGAGGCTAATCTGCCAGCAAACTCATCCACACACGGGGTTAACAGATTAAAAACTATGTTCACGTGATAATGAGTTCTTGAAACTTTTGCCAAGGATCATGGACTGTGGGTTCACTCCAGTGCAGTTTGCGGACTTCATTACATAATAAATAAAAATAATCCCTAGTTCTTCAACAGCCCTTTTCATCATGCAGAAACTGAGGCTCAAGAGGAGAAGTGACTTGCCTCAGGTCACCCAGCAGGCCCATGGAAAAGCTGGGAATAGAACCCAGATCTGCTGAATTCCAGTCCAGTGCTCTATCCACTAGGCTAAGAATATGGGCTTGAGTCTCACTTACCTTAAGGTCACCTTACACCATGCTGGCAGTGCAAAAGGGCTTCACAATGGGTACAAGCATAATCTACTGTCACTCTGAGGCTCTTCCTCACTACCAGAACAGTGTAAAGTGGTCTTACTTTAAATAAGAACCAGGCCCTGTGACCTTAACCAAACAACGAACGGTCCTCATTTCCTGCCCCAAATGGGGACTCTGAAAGAGCAGTTGTTACAAGAAAAGCTCTAAGGAAAAAAGGCTCAAGAACCACATTAGGGTCTCTTAGCACATACAGCTACACCATTAGCATATGGCGTTTTGCCAGCACAACTCCTGATGGATCAGAAGATGAAGATTTCTTTACCAGAGCCATCAATCAAATTCTGAATGGCCAGATCTTAAAGTGTTCAGAGAAAAAGGCAGAGTTATAGGAATCCCACAACCAGCTTTACAACTGAAGACACATGCTACAAGATATACCAGAGCCAAGGCCAGAAGAAAAGTGGGAGTGGGAGGCGGTGGGGAGCAAGAAGACCCAACAACAGGATCCATGACTGGAGCAGCAAGAACCCTCCAATCCTACCTAATACACGCCCAGCAGGCTGCCTTCAGAGAAACACGATTCAGCTTCATCTCATTCCTGAGCCACCACTGAGAAGGCCTCCCCAAATCCATGGACATGCTGTGAGAGTGCATCAGTGCCACCAGACAGAATGAATCTGTGATAAACTATACCATCATTTTCACAATGTGCTACCCCAGACCCAGCTGAATAAATACGAAGCAGAATAATCATCTCAGCAGACTCCAGATTCAGGTAGCATACCTTGGCTGCCAGTTCACACTTACACCTTATTGGGCTTTTCAATATTAGCAAGTGTTTCTGAAATACAAAGAGATGTGCTGGAAGGCACTTAATGAGTTAATCAAGTTGGTCTCACTACACACAGACTTAGTGCTAGCTGTATCATTTCTAGGTTACCACTAATAAATCATGTGCCCCACTGCAAACGCACCTGGCTCTTTGTATTGTCTTAAATCTTAACGTATACCTAGTGGTGAAAAGTTCTGTGTCTCATTTGCAAACACTTTGAGCCATCTAGCTCCCAAATACAGATGACATCATGGAGCTTGAAAAGCAGCTTCCAGTCAGCTTTAATATTGGATCTGCAACCAGAAAAATAACTTTAATATTCATCACTTTCAAAACGTGTAAAATCACCATTAAAAGAAACAAACTAGTTTGTTCCCTCTTACCTACATTTGATAGTTAATACATGGGGAGACTACACCATGTGCAGTTTCAGATTACTCTGTGGCTATACTATATTTCCATGTATTTCACTTACCAATTTTTTATTTCCTTATTTATTTTCTGTAAGGGTGGATCCTGCTCCTATTCAAGTTAATGGCATCACTTCCATTGACTTCAGTGGGTGAAGGATAGATATAAGGACCCTATCATGCTCCCACTGAAGTAAATGTCAAAACTCTTATTGACTTAACAGAAGAAAGACTGAACTTTAAGCGTCATATTGTACCCTTGAATAGAGAACCTGACTTCCACTGATGTCTGTCAATGGAGTTGCACGTAAGCAAGGATATTGTAAGGCCCAAAAAGAGCAATGTCAGGAGCTACCATGTGATGTAGCAGGATGTCATTTCTAAGGTCAAAGACAACAAGGAGCAGCCACCAAAGCATCATGTAAAAGGTCCTATATTTTATAATATTAAAGGAGAACATACTTTTTACACCACTTTTTCCATATTAAAAATAACTTATTTGTAACATTGCTTGGTTGTGCACCAATATCTTTATGTTTCCCTCTCCCTTTTTCCCATTCAAAAATTGTAAGACTGAAACAGCCGGTGTGTGTTTGTGAGAGACAGACAGATCACAGTGAAAGAGTGATGTGGCAGCTGAGCGAAACTAATTTTTCTGATCTCACCGGGGGTAACACAGTTAGAGCTCCTAGCTCTGGAAAAGGCCATGCTTAATTTACAGATGTTAGAAACGCAGACACTTTTAGGACAGAAGGAAGTCTGACATCCCATCACAAACAATGTGCCAAATTAAAACCAAATCACTGAAATCTTTAAAGTCTACCTTAGGGACTTCATGTACGTAAATTGGAGATTAGATTAGCTGCTCTGGCGGTAGAGCTGGTGTAGCTCCACAATTCACACGAGCAGAGGGGCTGGTCCATACACTTTAGGATCCCGATATTAACAAAAAGTTTCAGAAGGATCTATAATTTAATGCAATACTCTGTGGGCCTGATCTTCTACAAACAAAACTGCCACTGACATTGCTCTAATTCCTCCTTAATGTGGATATGCCTTTAAATATGCATACATACTGCTTAATATATATAGACACTGCAATAGACCAGGCACAGTGTAAATTACAGATAGAGCGATGTAATACACAATGCTTACCATTCCTTCATGTATAGTTTTTAAACAATGAGGTCATAGTGACTCAGTCTCAGATAACACTTAAAACAGCCTCAGATGGGAAATCAGACAGCACTTTTATAATAGAATATGGCAAATCCTTATATCCTGAGGAGTTTTGTGTGTTTGTAAAAGAAGAACAAAATTAGCAGTGAACTCGGAAGTTTATCATGGCATTACTATGGTCTGATCCAAGTAACTCAATTTGACTGGAATTGCTGCAGTAGTATGCTACAAGTAATTCATAATTCATCGCAATTCAGAACAGCATTAAGCATGTGCTTAAGTCCCACTGAAGTAAATGGGATTTAAGCACATGCTTATAAATAAGCACATGCATACATGCTTTCCTGAATCAGGGCCATCCATATACTGAAATTACTATAGTATGCTGTCTCTGATTCTTTTCTTTTTATATTCCAGGGATCCTGGAAGAAGCCTAGCACCGTATGGATGCTATTCCACATGCATTTCTGTACAAGTTCTCATGCAATATCAGCATTCATACAGTCTACCTATGTGTTACCTCTGAAATGCTCACTGATCTCTACCTGGAAAAATGCATTTTAAACCTGGGAGTCTGATCTCTTACCCTGTTTTACATGTGGCTTTTGCTCAGCTGAATGGCTATCATTTTCCCTCTGAAGAAAATGCTTTCTTCTATTAGGCCTCTGTAAATTCCCTTTCTGAGGCAGTGTGTGCTCAAAAATGATCATCAGGCTCAGTCCTGCAGAACCCTTCCTCATGTGAGTAGTCCTTGAGCATGCAAAACTCCTCCCATGAGTGCATATTTGCAGGATCAAGTTCTTAGACATGTCACTTTAAGTGCAATTCACGAAGAATGCCTGTAACAGTTCTTTAGCAAGTTCCACTGGCAGACTAGCAGGGGGTTTTTTGTTGGTTTTTAAAAAAATTATTATCTAAGCACTGTTCGTGGCAGATGGAGAACTATCTACTTCTGCTTTAGCTACCCATATAGTGGGTTGCCCAAAGTTCCATTCAGTTTTTGGGTTCCTGCTTTGTCTCATGCAAACTGATTTTGACAGATCCTGGAGAAAAGAAACTGAGTTTTCCGATGCATCTTTAAGCACTGTACTGTACTGCTGTCAGTAATATGACTCATATCTGCTTTTGGATATGAGACTTGGATTCCCCACGGAGCTATTGATAAATCTTCTGAACTGCTATAAGGAAGTCCCAGATTTATTTTTTGGTGCTAATCTCTTGCCTCCTAGACTGACAAGGACTGGGAGATGAGTGGCAAGACACTCAGACCATGGATGGGGTGGGAGCATCTTGTGTCACTCAAGTGACCATCTTGTGTCACTCAAGTGACCACTCCTCTGTCTCATTAAGAAGCATCATTGTGGCTGGAGAACTGCTCAGTCATCTTTAACAGGTAGGATGATAGCTACCATTCAGTGCAGAGCCTTTACAAAGACCCTGGGAAAAAACTGGTGGTGGGGATCTTCAAGATTTCAAACAGAGAAGATAAGAGGAAGTCAGTTTCTATTGTGCCAAAGGTAAATTTGACTTCTCAGTGTAACACAGGCTGTAGTCAGTAGTATTGTTGGCATAAATAATTTGTTCTATTATGCCCTTATACTTAAAGAGCCATATTTTCAAGAATGGTCTCTAAAATAGCATCCACACGATCATACACCCAACCATCAGCCCCTAAAATAACTAGGTTTGTTTCCACAAATAGTAAAACCTCGCAGTTTGCACCTTCCGTCAGTGGGTCTGAAAGCACTTTACAAACATTAATGGACATCTGGCCTCACAAGTCGCTGTCAAATAGAGCAGTTATTATCTTCATTTTACAGATAAATATATTGAGGCACCAAGAAACTAAGAGACCTGCTCCAGTTCATACACCAAATCTGGCAGAGCCAAGAGCTGAACTAAGATCATCTGACAACACTCCTGTGCTTCGTTCACAAAACTGTCCTTCCCCAACAAGGCGCTTTAACCAGGAAGGAACATGAACCTTCATCCATCTGAATTGAAGTCAAATACCTTAATACAAGAGGTCAAATGGGCACTTAACCCCAAAGTGGTCAGAGGCTTACACATTAAAATTAAGTTTTTCGTGGGAACAAATGATTTCTCACAAAAAATTGTGGGTGCAAATAATTGTGGGCTCAAGACTGTAGGTGCAAATTTGGTGCAAAATAACTCAAATCGCTGGGTAACTCCAATGTTTGTTTTGGATCATCTCACACGCAGCTCTTTTTTTTCTCTAAACACCTTGCATTATACACATCATCATATGAACCTAAAAGATGCAGCCAATACAGAGTGTTAATGGTAGCAATGGAAAAAACAAAAAATATGGAATGGCATCCCGGCACAAATGAAGGAACAAAATGATGTCATCCTATTGCCAAGCATTCATGTAGCATCCAATATCACAACTTCATAATTCATTCTAATGACAAGGGATTGCAAGGACATAAAATAATCTGCATATCTGCTGAAACAAAGTAAAAGTAAAAAGCAAAAACAACAACAACAAAAGGTTTGTTTGCATGTACTGTACCCAGGTAAAGTTTTGTAGTCGTCAGAGTCACTGAAAGAACTAACCTATGCCAGTAAAGCCTAAGCATAGTAAAAACCACCAGCATTTTGTAAATACATGAACTTTGCATCCTGCAAGAGTCATTAGTAATTAATAAAAGTGAAAGTTTTCTCTAAATTCCATACCAGTTTATTTCACCCCCAATATGAGTTTCTTAAAATACTGTCTTTGAATAGCACAAAGTTCCATTTGTAATATAAGTAAGAGCATCTGGCCATAGTTAGGGATATTGAATTGTATAAACCAAAAATGCAAGTTTAAACATTACAAAAAAACTATCAAAACATTCATTATTTTGAATTGACTTCTCTTCTGTTTGGCAGTGATGACATGATTTCTAAATACAGTTATTACTGTTTTGCAATTGGCTTTTTTTTGTAAATTTTTCTGAATGTGTTTTTTAAACAAAAGAAAATTACCAGCTTTTATAAAAAAGGAGCTTGAATACTTACTCCCAAAACACAGATACAAGATTTTTTGTTTTTTTTTTATAAAAAGTGTATTGGTTTCTTGCTACAAAAAGCGACCTAAAGGTGTCAGACCTGAAAACAAATTCTCACAGTGTTTTCAGTGTTGGCTGTTTACAAGGCAATAATTATAAGCAGAGATAGAGAGATACCATATGGCAGGTATAATAACTTGATATCAGCCAGCATTATCTTTGGGCTACAGGAGAAATCTGGTTCACCACTCAGCTGACATGTATATATATCTTGCTTATTTATTAGAAAATGACCCAATACAGAAATTTATAATGTAATCACTGTGCTATAAAAACTTTACTTAGCGTCTTACGCAGCATTTCTGAATCTTGTCCAAACGCCTTTGTTTCACATTCTGCTGGCATCTTAAGCATCTTTTACCAGAGCAACAAGCCATCTCTCTGCCCACCGTTCAGCAACAGAAATTGGTGATAGACAGCATGCAGGTGCTAAAGCCAGGGATGCAAAATTAGAAGCAGATCTGCTTTCAAAGAGCTGCTCGCATTCATCAGCATTTTGAAAAGGTGGAGATTAGTATTTGTTTTCTTTTAGCTTTAGAATTGATCAGTGAAAGATTTAGTTATGTACTTCTAGTGGGAACTGTCAACTTTTCTGCAGTCAATAGGAAACTCAAGAAGTTAGAGCAGAAGAAAAAAATTGAAGTAAAGGGGAAATGCATGAGATCATTGGTGTCAGATTGCTGGCAATGCCCATTTTGCATCCCTATAAAATTACTCAGAAGGATGGTATCACTCTATCCCTAATAGTTGATAGGTGTCAATTTGTGGCACGGAGGATAAATCATAGAAAAAAAATGACATATAACTTTGTGTCCTTTGATTTGAAAGTACCAGTCACCTATCTGCTTCTTTTGGCAGAAGTACTGTACTGTATCTTAAACATAGCTTGTACTACAGACAATTAGCATTGTGTTCCTTTACATGGAATCTCCAAGGGAATCAGAGTCATCCAAGGACAGAGGCAGGTACAAGTCCTGTAAGAAGAAAGAAGAAAGTGTTAACTCCCACAATCAGTTTCCAACTTCATCTTATAGTAAGGAGACAGCTCCATGATTCAATTCAGTGGAGTACCACTTCCTGTGCACAAAGCTGAAGTCTTCTTCATGGGACTCCAAATGGACAAACCTATTGTCTAAGGAGTTCAGGACTGAAACCATGGCAGTTTACATGCATGGTGGAGCAGGAAGATCTCAGTCACAAAAGGCAGTGGTAATTTGAGAAGAACCTTTTAGCCCCTTCTCACTCAGTGTCAATCTGTGCTAGATTTTGCATGAATCAACAGAATCTTTTGCCATACAGGTCAGCTTGCATTTAGGTCCAGAATAAAGAGTCTTACCTTTATTTGACAGCTGCCCCTATGCAACTTCTCTAGAGAGCTGAGAGGGATATTACATGCTCTAACACATGTTCTTTATTTCAAGCCCATCATAATTATACATTAATAATTAGATGGCTTTAAAAATGAGTCCAGGCTACCACAGTTGGCTCTGGCTCTGGCTCTGAACTCCAAAGTTCCTATTTTAGGCTTCGATCTGGTCCCACCTCTTAAAAGGTCTCATATGGATCCATGTATGCAAACTATCACTAAAGAAGGCTAAACTCTGCTTGTTCCTTACTGAATACTGTGTTATGCACTGGGAGGGGCTATTATCAAAACAGAAAAAGCACAAAGAATTTGTTTGGGACAGGGGGTTCTATACACACCTCAAGCCTCAAAACAATGGTTGGATGGGGGAATTTTGTAAGAGAACAGATAAAGGGGAAAGATAAAGCTATTTTTCTTTATCAAGTGCTAGAATAGCTCCTGGAAACAAAACAATGACACATGAAAGTTCTAGTAAACTAAAAGGTTACATTCATGGTCAGTTGGTATTCATGGTTAATTCTGTGGAGAAGCCTGTTGTTGATCAGCTCTGCCCTCAGTAATCACAGTGAATTGTAGATTTTAGATGGAAATTCACTAAAATGGTCCAGAGCCAACCAGGCAACAAACATAAATAAACCATTAAACAAGATGAGTTTATAATTTTAGTTATAAGCCGGGGGGGAACCCCAACCCCTACATTATTTGAAAAGTATTTTCATATCCTTGATTACTGAGGTATAAAAGGAAGTCTTAAAGACTTGAAAAATACATGAACAACTGCTGTGTGCAGGCTGTGGGCCAGGAGCTGCCCCCATGAAACAAGTGACTGATTGTTACTTAACCCCTGCTACTTTCACCAACAAGAGGATTTTTCTACAGGGATTATGTGACTGAGGAAGTACTCAAAAGCACTATTAAAGATCAGGCATTCTATAGGAATTGCTAAGAGCTACTTTTGAAGCCTATGCCTTGCACTTTGCACACACATCTGACTGTCCCAACAGAAGAGACTGTGCACTTGTTTTGTGTGTACTAACACCTATATGTACAGGGAAATGCCCTTTTGCATGCACTAAATTGATTCACACACACTTTGGCAGCCACAGTCAGTTGCATGTGAAAAAGTGAGTACGCAAATTCAAAGACCAGACTCAGCCTGGATAAAAATTTGGAATTAAGGACCTAATCCAAAACCCACTGATATCAGTGGGAGTCTTTTCACTGACTTCACTGGGGTTGGGATCAGGCCCTAGAAGTCCATTCTGAACATGTTAATTTCATCATAACAATGTACGTTAAAATAACATTAAGGATCTGATTGAAATATGCAAAGTGCCAAGATTTTCAGAAGCTAGTCTCCAGCTCATGCTTCCCCAGCTTCACTGGATATTATGTATGCCTAAGGTGTGTAGGGATCTCTGGGAAGTCCTGCTTGGGTGGTACGACTCCACTGTCCCAAAACAGGGGCCAGGCCTTCAGGTCCTACATGCTGTGTGGTTCATCAAAGCAACTGAAGTTAACAGGAGACTTTCCATTGATTTCACTGGACTTTTATTCAGACCCATAATTACTACAGGCCAGATTCTGATCCCATGACTCACCTTGATCCTCAGTCAACCACCCTAATCCTCAGATAGGAACTGCTCAAAGAATAATGCACCACTCAAAGTGAGTAAGGATTGCACAGTCTGGCCCATAATGAGCAATGGGAGTCTTTTCATTGGCTTAGTCAAATCCTAACTAAGTTGATTTTCAGATCTCATTGCCTTAATGATTATTCCAAGGCTTTGTTTTAATTCAGCCCCCTATAATGGAGACTCAGACTGCCAGGGGCATTTGTTTATTCAGTTACATTTGAGTGCCAAAAGTAGAGTGGGGTCTGTACTTTAAAAAAAAGGACATTGTTGTATTGGTTAGCTCACAGCCTTTAGCGACGGGACCACACCGACCTGAAAATCAAAATCTGTTCAAGAAATGTGCTCCCGAATACATCCAAATTTCAGCTCAAAGTGCTTTATTTCCACCGGCTTAACCCCTCCAGGCCATCAAAGGTCTATTAAAATCTTATATCCATTACTAGTGACTACCTCGACCATGTTGATCTTGTTACATACTGAAGCGTAAGACTAGCCCTCAGCCATGAGGAAGTAAGGAGGCATGAGGAATGTCGATCATTGTTGTTCTTTACTAAGAGACGCACCTGTTTGCTATAAAAAAGTTTGTAGGAAAATCCTTACATTCCTCTGATTTCAGAAAACGCACAGCAGCGATTTAACCAAGTAACTGCCTAATTCTTTTGTAGGGCTCTCTGAGAGTTGGAGACTATCAGAGAGATGAAGAAAACCACCTGCAACTGGAGAGCGGAAGAGTCAGGTCATGAAGAGGACTGTTTATTTCAAAGGAAGATCTAGCATGAAATCCTGATCCTATTGAAGTCAATGGCAAAACTCCCATTGACTTCAATGGGTCTAGGATTTCACCCCTGAAATTAACAATGAGCATGTGTTTTATATTGAGTGAGGATACCTTGGAGAGAGGATACCCAAGCTTGTGGGGTAGCATAGCCCAGAAAAGAGATCAGAAGAAGCCAATGGGAAAGACAAACTGGATGAAGTCAAAAGAGTGGCTGAGCAGCAGAACCAGTTACGGTGAGTGCTGAGGGACCCTTTAACAAAAGAGCCACCTGTGGTCATAGATGATAGCAGCACAAGTTCACAGATATGTAATAAAACTCCCTGCTGCCCTTCTGATGACGTGGTAAATGAGAGGATGTTACCGGGAAAAGCAGTCATTGCACCAGAAAGGAATTATCACAGAATGTAATTACACAGTAATTCGTAGCCTGTAAAATAGAGCATGACCTAAAGTTATTATTTTTTAAATTTCCTTATAAGGCAATATTAGGTTCACTACTTAGACATGCACATTTCTTTCATTGTGTAGAGTTGCCAGCACTTTAGGCTTTCCAAGAGAGAAAGGTTTACTCGGTGATGACTGTATATGAAGAATGTCCACATCACTACGCCAGAAACTATTTCAAAGTGATACAATTTAAGGGCACAATTATCCTCTCTGATACACAGTGGGGATCTATATCAGGGGTCATTCTCTCTGTTTCTAAAATAGAGGGCATGGATCAGTGATCTATGGCCCATCATACCACTACTCCCCCCAGAGCCATCGGTTCAAGTCACAGAAAGGTCGTTTCAGCCCCTTCATCTGTCTGGGGATTATAAATGGAGTTCCATGCAGTTTACTGCATGAGGGAGTCTTGGAGTTATCGTGGATAGTTCTCTGAAGACGTCCATGCAGTGTGCAGCGGCCGTCAAAAAAGCAAACGGGATGTTAGGAATCATTAAAAAAGGGATAGAGAATAAGACGGAGAATATCTTATTGCCCTTATACAAATCCATGGTACGCCCACATCTTGAATACTGCATACAGATGTGGTTCCCTCATCTGAAAAAAGATATACTGGCATTAGAAAAGGTTCAGAAAAGGGCAACTAAAATGATTAGGGGTTTGGAACAGGTCCCATATGAGGAGAGATTAAAGAGGCTAGGACTTTTCAGCTTGGAAAAGAGGAGACTAGGGGGGATATGACAGAGGTATATAAAATCATGAGTAGTGTGGAGAAAGTGAATAAGGAAAAGTTATTTACTTCTTCCCATAATATAAGAACTAAGGGCCACCAAATGAAATTAATGGGTAGCAGGTTTAAAACAAATAAAAGGAAGCTCTTCTTCACTCAGCGCGCAGTCAACCTGTGGAACTCCTTGCCTGAGGAGGTTGTGAAGGCTAGAACTCTAACAGGGTTTAAAAGAGAACTGGATAAATTCATGGAAGTTAAGTCCCTTAATGGCTATTAGCCAGGATGGGTAAGGAATGGTGTCCCTAGCCTCTGTTTGTCAGAGGGTGGAGATGGATGGCAGGAGAGAGATCACTAGATCATAACCTGTTAGGTTCACTTCCTCTGGGGCACCTGTCATTGGCCACTGTTGGTAGACAGGATACTGGGCTGGATGGACCCTTGGTCTGACCCAGTATGGCCTTTCTTATGTTCTTAGGGTCTTTTGGATGTGATCTTAAAACCAACATCTTATCTCTACTATGGGGACATTAAGGATTTCATGACACTACTTGTAAGGGCAGGAATTTGCCACAAGATCTTTAGCCAAAATTAAAATTCCTCCTCTCCCCTCCCACCCAGAGTTATACACCATCCACCTAAAGATGAATGTATTTCAGCAGTGCTGAAAGTATGACATTTGTAAAGAGATTTGGGGAATGAAAGGACTTTACAAACATAAATATTGTTATTAAGTAGCTCACACGGACCTCCCACCTATAGCACTGGTAGTCCGACAAGATGGTCTAATGCAAAATATGTGATACTGAGAATGGGTTCAAACCAACAGCTGAGATCCAAACAGTCCTCTAACTTTAGGGAGCTTCTCATCTGGACTCGGTTCTGAATTCTGCAATTTGGGTCTAGTTTTAACCTGGCAGATTACAGACCTTCACCCGTGGTTAGAGTTTTGCCCTAAAATTTTACAACTACTAGAAATTTGAATTGACAGATAAGAAAGTGCAGCACTGTGTGAATTTAGTGCTAGTGAAAGGTACTGGATTAAGTGCTTAGAAAATGAAGGGCTTGGTTCTGCGTTCCACATATAGAGTGAGAACCTCAGCTGCTGTTCCATAGGAAATTCTGGTGTAACTAAGGGACACCATCCTGATTCTCCATTAGCTTTTGCAGCAGCAGTGTGCAAGTGTTGAGGAGAGCTCCGATGGACAGTGAGAGCCAAAGCTGTGGGCCTTGCATTTCCTTCTGTTCATTTATTCCTTGCAGCAGAGGTTCAGGGGGATATACCCATCCTTGATTTGTTGGTCTTGTTCCTGTTGTTCAGGGGAACGTACCAAACTGACTGTATGTGGAAACAGGCACAAGCCGTTTCTAAAGCCAATGCTAAAAACAGCTGCAGAGGAAATAACCATCTGAAAAAGCCCACACTTGTGTTACATTCAGTACAAAGCTCCCCAAAGTCAGTGCTGCTGACATACTGTCTTATTAGCCTACGAAGTGCATTTACAGGTATTCACAGTGGATTTTTAGTCTTTGAAAACAAAAAGATTCTAGGTAATGGGCCAGATTCTCTGACGGTGTAACCCATGAAGTTACGCCACCCAAAGAACGTGGCTTCGTTTTAGCCATTTTGTCTCTATGTCTAGGTATATGTTGCTAGGAACAGTTTTAGTAAGGTATAAGAAACGTAATACCTTGTGCTTACGGAGGCTCCCTGGACTGGTAGGTGTGGAGATTGGAGACTGCTTGGATTTGGGTGTAGACAGCTGACTGCTTGATGTTCCATTTGCTGTCATAAAACAAGAGAGAAGTCAGCAATGGATTCACAAAGAAAAGCAAGAAGCAGATTATTTCTCTACTTCAGGACATGGAAAACATTCAGACCGATAACATCTAAAGGCTTCAGTTTATTTCATCTATAATTCAGGCAGGGGAAAAAAAAATCAAAAGAACAAAATAATTATTCACCAGATTGAATGTTTCAGCAGTTCTAAATACAGGGCATTGCCATAGCTGAGAGGCAATATTTTACTTTATAAATAGTATCCCACGTTTACCAAACTGATTCAATGTAGTAATCGACTATAAAAACCCACTGTAAGATTTCCAGACTTTCAAGCAGTTTAATACCATTTAAACTATGCACTACTTTGAGTTATCAATGAAAATCAAAGTCTATAATGGCCTAGATTGCTAACTTTAAATATTATCCAATGAGCTCATACATTAGCTTAAAATGTATATAAAACTTAGTCTCTTGAGCCCACGGGCTGCACTCAGTGCTAAGGACCCTTGAAGTGCCAGCCACCATGTGGGCACAGACATAGCTATATCCATTTGCCCAATGCTCAGGACTGGGGAGCGGGCAAGTGCATGGAGGAGTGAGAGTACACTTCCTGTAGCTCCCCTGCAAGGTAGCTTCACTCTGCACCCAACACAGGCCTGTGTGTCGAAGCTATAACCTGGCCTTCTGGGTTTTCGTAACCACTAAAGAAAAGAAAAATCTTCCCAACTTTTATAAATCATTAAAAAAAGTAAATTTCATTTAAACCTAACCTCTGAACAAAGTGTTAGAGGGTTGGTCTGTGCTGTCTTCATACAGCCTATTAGCAACTGGATTTTAATCAAAGTGAAACGGCTGCGGTCTATGCCAAAGACAGCTATTATGGCTGTATAGGGTAAATAAATAAATAAAAGTAAACACCAAATTACAGCAAAAAACAAACAAAACACCGTGAACAAAAATGAAATGAGGGAAAGCGAAAATCTTACTGCCACCAATGTTCTTTAAAGTAGTGCATAACTTTGAATATTATGAAGTGTCACAGTAAATATTTCATAAGGACATGTTTCCTTCATGTGAATTTGGTAATGTTTTTGCTAGATTCTATCTGCTGTGCTTCAATTCCAGGGAGACAGACCCTGATTCTGTTCTTGTTCACAGGGCTTTTAATGGCGCAACTCCATTGGTTTTGGTGGAAGGGAATTCAGAGTCAAGCTGGCCACGTCTAAGTATATTATCTTTCTGGGTCCTTCAATTCTGAGTAATCCAAGCAGGAGTAGGCTGGAGGCGTTACTTAAATAAGCATTAAAATAAAGATTTCCCATTCAAGTCTACATAAAATGACATATCAAAAAACAAGCCATGATGCTTATTCCTTCAGTACAATCCCCAAAACTAAAAAATCAAATGTTTTGATTGTTGCTTTCTTTAATGGCATTAAACATTGCTAACATTCCATATACATACATTAAACAGAATGTTCCTCTGCCAAGAAAACAAACAAATTTTTTTTTATTATTTTGAAGTTTTACATAGAAGGAAAGACAAGTACAAAGATAGGACTCGTTGTCTTCTTATTTGAGTGTGCAAATGTATGTACCTAATTTGCGCTGAGCAGATGCATGCCAGGATGGCAAAAATTAGGTATTTGGGATTAGTGCATGAAATCACGGCAACTCCATGTGCAAATGAGGCATGTAATTGAGCATAAATTCGAGCGCCTAAATTGTCTGAAAATCATGCCTATAAAATTTATAAGGCATAATACTGTGAACGGTGGCAGGCAGGGTGTGTAGTGTATCAAATTTAAAAGATCAGAAAATGGAGTGAAAAATAATGTTTAGATAAGTAGCATAGAAGTACCCTAAAGCGGGAGAAAATGACATTTATACCCAGTTTAAGGCTTCTTTATACCTTCAGAGCCATGTGAAGGGGCCTTAGCAGAAATGAGAATTAGGCCCCATATCTGTGGTACTTACATCTATGAAGTCATCTAGAGTTTTGCCTGAGCAGGGACAGATAGCCTGAGCCTCACCTATGCAATACTAACTTTATATAACAAGTTAGTATTGCATAGGTGGGCCAGCCTAAATAGGGGTCGTGGCCTAAATATATATACGTATATACAAGCAGTGACCTCACAATCATAGAAATGTAGGACTGGAAGAGACCTCAATAGGTCATCTAATCCAGTCCCCTCCACTGAGGCAGGACTAAGTATTATCTAGACCATCCCTGACAGGGTATTTGTCTAATCTGTTTCCACAACCTCCCTAGGTAATTTGTTCCAGTGCTTAACTACCCTTACTGTTGAGAAGTTTTTCCTAATGTCTAACCTAAATCTCTTTTGCTGCAATTTGAGCCCTTTACTTCTTGTCCTGTCCTCAATGATTAAGGAGAACAATTTATCACCCTCCTCTTTTATATATTTGAAGGCTATCATGTCCCCACCCACCCTCCATCTTCTCTTCTCCAGACTAAACAACCCCATTTTTTCAATCTTTCCTTATATGTCATGTTTTCTAGACCCTTTAGTAATTTTTATTGCTTTTCTCTGGACTTTCTCCAATTTGTCCACATCTTTCCCGCAGTGTAGTGCCAAGAACTGGACATAGTATTCTAGCAGAGGCTTCATCAGTGCTGAATAGAACGGAGGAATTACTTCGTGTGTCTTGCTTACAACTCTCCTTTGGATACATCCCAGAACGATTGCCTCCCCCCCCCCCCCGCCAAACAACATTACACTGTTGACTCATACTTAGTTTGAGATCCGCTGTAAGCCCCCCTCCCAATCCTTTTCTACAGTACTCCTTCCTAGGCAGTCATCATTTCATGATGTTTACTCACATAACCTGTCACCCTCATGGTTATTTCTGCTCCTGGACAGAATGCAGAGTTCTGGCATCAGGTTTTTACCACTTCCTAGCCTACTCCTCCTGAACCTGAATAAGAACTGACTGAAAACTGAGTGAAGTCTTTAAGATTTGCCCCAGTAGGAATAGACTACCAGGCCTATATGCAGGGCTGATCTCATTCTGATTAGTACTACTTTGAAGCCTATGGCTCCCATCTAGCAAAACACTGGAGCATATACTTAACTTTAAGCATGTAAGTTCTGCCGTTGACTTCAGCGGGAATGTGCACCTATGTAAAGTTAAGTATCGGCTTGATCCTGCACTCACTGAAGTCGATGGCAAAGCTTGCATTGATTTCAGTAGTGTAGGATAAGTCCCTGTGTGTTTATGTGTTTTGCTGGATTAGGGCCAGTGTGCTCAGCACCTTGCAGGATTGACCCATAGGCACATGTTTGAGAATCCATTATGCCTCTCTCCGATTGCCAGCCAGAATTTGGCGCCTCGTCTTCATATTTCCATATGAGGAACAATCCCGGTGCTGTCTCCACAGTGGTCTGTGTTTCCACCACAACTTTCATTAGCATCCTCTGTCAATAGTTTCCCTCCATTCATTTCACATTATTAGTGTAATAAGGTGTTTTGTGTAACTGCTGTGTGAAGAATGAATGTTTTGCCATTAAAATATTTGCTGAATGTTTTTCCTTCCCAATTACCACTTTATAATCATAGTGTTTTAAAAATAAAAATAAAATCCTGAGAACCTATCTGCAACAGACAGCCTTATAGGGATATTTACTTCCCCATGTTCACCATTAAAGCTAAAGACTGGAAAAGATCCCTCCCCTATTGAGTGAAAGGTGGAGCTGATTAAATTTAGGCTGCATTAAATTAGGCGCCAGGAACAATCCAATATGCATTTAGCAGTGAAAGGCTTTGACGAGCTGCTTTAATGATTGGAGTTGGTGCAAGCTTGAGGAGGGCTCCTTTTCCTCCTCTCACACCACTTGTGCACCTAGGCCCATTTCAGCCTAATTCTTTACTTCTGTGGTTCCTAACTTTCTTGACATTCTGCCTTTGAAGTCCCATTGCTGCTCCATTCCTGCAAAGTCGCAATGGCTTTCCCACCCCCTGACCCCAGTTTTGAGATCTAGAATTGTAAATTCATTGGAATTTCTGGTCAGCTGCTAGAGTAATTTATTCTCCAATGAAGCAATCCTATTCTGAGTCCCTGAGACACTCCTGACCTCCCACTAACTTCTGGGCAGTTGCTTTCATTTCTAAGATGGCTTCAGGTATCTTCTCTATCTATACTTCATCTACGATGCTTTTTAATACCAATTTTAGCTAATATCTTTGGATCAAATTTAGAGATAATGCACGTTACATGTTGACATGTGGATGTGAGTTCAAGAGTGTCTAAACTGGTGCAACTCTCATTCTGTGGGGACCGAAGAAAGTATATGTCACATCAGTGTAGATTTATCTGACTCACTTCTGACTTTGGCCCTTTATTTTTGTAATGTACATTTGTCAGTATCATTTCATCTCTGTATTCAGTGATACTATGGGGGGTGATAGGTAGAGAGGTCAGGTCACCATTAATAGCCTCTCTTTTCATTACAAATTTGTACCATTTGGGAATGAGATTTCTATTAAAATATGGTCAAAATACTGGTGTGCAGAGAATGGAGTGACCTTACAATTCACTTCAAACCATTCTGCAGTAAAAACAAACTTTGGTCATCTGTATTGGAAAATAGGATAGATTGCCTACTGGCCGTGGTCATTCACTCTACTTCACCCTTGAAAGCTGAGCAGATTAGCACTTAGAGCAGATGCATACAAGTTGAGTTTATTAACTATACAACATAAAATATAAACTGAAGACAATTCAGACAAATAGATTTTAGATCTCTGACAGGTTTGTTTAGAGGGGACCTTGGCTTTTCTTTTATATAAGCCGGTGGGTAAAATAGCTCTAACATACTCAGTGTTATCTGGAAATCCAACTCTAACTTCTAAATTGTCTCTTTTTGTACTGTTATCTTTGACCTTGAGACAGAACGCAACCTCTCCTTACAAGAAACACACACAAAGAAAGAAAATGAAATTTCTTTGCAGCATCAACATTTTCCCCCTTGTAAACAGAGA